ATTAGAAAGGAATTAACAGTCTTTAATTTTTGTGGGTGAAATCACCCCAGTATGACCAGTCCTAAATCTCCATCAAAGGCCTTTTCTTACACACTTGATCCGTATCTCAGAGAACCCAGCAGTCTGGCTGCCTCATGCAAAAGGTTCCTAAATTAGGTTTTTAAAATTATTTCTGTTAAGTATAAACTTAACATATACCAGCTGCTGAGGGATTTAAAAAGCTTTGTTGTTTTTTTTTTCTTTTTTTCTTTTCAATTATTGGAACCCTTGTTTACAGAAGACTCAATGATATTCTTTAAATGACTTTGTGTTGAATATAAAAGAATGTGTTTATCTAAGCAATGATAATCTGACTATAAAGAAACTCATTTAGGGATGATACCCCTTGCCTCTCACAGTGCAGCTGTCACTAGAATGTTCTTCCAGGCTTTTACAAATTGCTGAAAAGTCTTCCTTAAAATTAGTAGAATAAGTCAGGGAATAAACCTGGTAGTTTGGGAAGAAATATGATTCTAAATCATAGAAAAAGGATGCAGGCTCAGAAATCAGGACGTTGTGGCAGGTTTATCGAAGTTCTAGTTGGCTAACTCAATGATGAAATGCAAATCACAGGGGAAGAGATTTTAAGGTGTTCATCCCCATCAAAGAAAACCCCAAAGTCCCCCAGATAAGCAAATTGGAAGAATTCTGAGAGCCAACCAAGGCTTTAACATTTTCAGTGTTTGCCAGAACAACAGAGAAGCCCTGGGGTGAAAGGGGTCATGGCCAGACTGGCACTAGCTCTGAATCCTCACCTCCTTGTGTTATAGAGGGCGCAGTGAAGTAGTGCACAGAAAACTTAGAGTACATAGTGACACTCAGTAATGTCACGACCATCGCCAGACTGCTCCAAGTCTCACGGTTTTATAGGCAGTGCCTCATCTGATCTCTGAAACTGTCATATTAAAATAGCATGACTTGATAGCACCAATATTATTAAAGACTGAAGAAAATGAGATGCAAAGAAGTTTAATAATCTCCCCAGACTCGTACAGCAGGTAGGTTCATGGTGAGGAAAGGCCTGCCTCCATATCTGTCACGTTTCTGCAGGCGTACGCTGAGCACATGGCTCTTCACTTTCCAAACACTGACTAACTGCCACAGTGAATGGATCACCAGCCATTTAGCATCATCTTTCCTCAGCTAACAACCCATGGTACCAAGTTCCCAGATGCCTGGGAGCACCTTCTAAGATGCTAAGACTTTTGTGACTCCTCTTTGAGGTGCAGATTCAAGCTCCATGGTGAGGGCAAGGCTCTGGCCCTGATGACCTGGTGACACCCTTTCCCTGTGATATTTTGAGTAGGAGGGTGCTAGCCTGTGTAAGGAGACTTCTTTCAGAGCTCTGTGTCTTCCTGATGGGTCTGAGTTTAAACAGAGAGCACAGTTCCCTCCCTTTCCTCTGAGGAGCTGTGGTTGGGGGTTGGTAAGCTCGGGCACACCGGAGGGCACCGCCGACTCTGTTCCAGAAAGGGGACAGCATTCATATCTTTAGAAAGAGTATTTCATTGCTTATTTTATTATGGTGCATGTTCAGTGGAAAAGGGTAATGACATCCCCAATCTGTTCGAATCTACCCCTCATAGAGGCATACATATGCCTTATTCTACATGATAAACAATTCTACATGTTAAACAATTAGAAAATTAATCCTACAATGTTTCAGACTATACCAAATCCTTATTACAGTGCTCATGATTATTTAGGAGGATTTTAGCAACATTTGGAAGTTTGATCTTTCAGGATGCTTTAGCAATAAATTGGAACTTTTCGCCATGAAAGGAGCATATAGGCTCGTGCTAGCCGACTCATTTTGTAGGATTGTATGAGGCTCAGATACACGGTGCCTCTACCCTGTGTCAGACCTGGAGAGGAACCTGAGGCTAAAATGAAAAGGCGCATGGTGTGAGGCCAGCACCTGCGTGGGGGGGGGGGTCAGGTAGAGTTCTTAAATTTGTGTTTAAGGAGTTCCAGGCTTGCAGCATAGGAGGATTCCCTCTCCAGAAGGAAACAAAATAAAAGAAAACCCTCCAGGTTCACCGAGAGACTCTTTCTCAAAGAATAAGGCGGAGAATGAGAGAGTAAGATACCCAATGTCTTCCTCTGGCCCTGGCTTCCATGTGAATCCATGGGTCATGCATACATGGCAAGCACATATACCATAAACACATGAAAGAGACAGACAGATAGACAGAGACAGAGACAGAGGATGTTGTGGCTAGCCAGGCTGTGCCCAGTGAGAGAATATGTTGGCTTCTTCTGGGCCATAGTGTGGAGGTTAGCAATCTCACCAGAGAGGACCCAGTCCCTTAAGGCTTGATAACAGGCTGACAATGTTTTCTCTGGATCTAAGGACCTACTGTCATCCGGCTTGAAGAAAGGTTAAACACTATGGCTTTTCCAGGGCCCTTTAACTAAAGTGTAAGAACTGGGCTGACTTGAGGCTCACTAGATGGAGTGTAGGCTCTCCTGAGACTTCTGCCAGCAACAAACAAACAAATAAAAAACTAGAAAAAAACTAGCAAAAAGAACAAAGATGGCTTTCAACTCCAGCCATTTTCTCTCTTTATCATGAACAATTACACATATGTATTTTTCAAGAGCTATAGAGAGGATAAAGGAAAAGAGCCTGGACAGAACAGCTTTGATCGGTGGGAGCTTAGTCATGGGCCAAGTACATCCTTGCCTTCCTCTCTCTTGCATCTATCTTTCCTCCTGTGTATATCCCCCAAATGTAGAGAAGATAAAGAAAGGCAGAATGTCTTCCCAAACTTGAGTGCAGATAGAGGTGGAATAGTATTTTTGCCATACCTCTCTAGTGACGTTTGTGGCTTCTTCCCTGGCTCCGTTCCATGTACACACTGTCTTCTGTCACTTGGTATTCTTGGTTTATGTTTAGTGGTTTTACATCTAAAGGGGTTGCTCATTGCTTGGATCAGTCTTCTCTGGCAGAATCTTGTTAGGGAGACATTAAGACACTAAGACATTGATTTCCCCATTTGGGAGTCAATGTTAGATTTCACCTCGTGTTCCCCACATGTCATGAGCAGAAAAATCCAGGAGCTCTTCATAGCCATGTCCTCCCTGTGTTTGCTTGGCCGTCATTGCATGAACAATGACAGGGATAAACGCAGTGCCCTCAACCTAATATGTGTGCTGTGTATTTTCTTAAGTGATGAGTAAACCGAAAGCAGTTGATTCTCAATAAGAGCGTGGAGCAATTGATAAATTAAGAAAACATGGAGCGATTGATTCTTATTAAGAATCAATTAAACTCCTTAGTTATCTACCTCTTACCTAATTCCAGGAGTTGGGAGTCAGCTTCACCTACAGTGCTGTCCACGTGAGAAATTTGACTAGTGACCCATTTCCTGAGGGAAAAGTAAGGGTAAAGGGGTAAAATGGGGCTAAACACTACACTCGGATTTTGCACCTTGCAGTATAGATTAGCCAAAAAGACAGGTGTGAAAAAGTTTCCCTTCTAAAGAATGAACCGTTTCTAATTTTGGACTATTAGATCCCCAAGATAGTTTGCCATCATGTATTGCCTATATCCACTAAGTTTTCTAGATCTGAATTGCCTCTATGGCACACTGATGTGGTAATTGAATATCAGTAGTACTACATAAATAAGAACTTCAAAAGCCAAAAGAATTATATCTGTGACAATTTTCAGCTTGTATTCAAAAAGTTACCCATGTGTAAAGTGACAATAGAACATCGCATTTATAGAAAAGACACCTGCTAAGAAGGAGCCTCTTTATACACTCTGTGCTTTAGTTAATTACCTCATTTAAACGTTTCTTCACAAAAACATGGAGTAGACTTCACAACTCAAAGATCAATATCTATGAGCAGCCTTTTGATTGAACACTTTTCAGGTATAAAATGCACAGTAGAGAGAACTCGTGTTTTGAAGTGTCTAGATGATTAGTTGTGTGTGAGCTAAATTTGTCATAGCTAGGTGGTGAGGTGGCCTTTGGAGCCCTGGATTCCCCTTCTGAGCTTTCCTCATGATCTAGAATATACTCTAGAACCCCTGTATCCTTTGGGATAGAGGGGAAATGGCCATATATCTTCAACCTGCCTGGTATCTAGAAATCTAAGTACTGTGCCTATCTGTGAGCTTCTTAGAGTCTATTTTGCGGTAGACAAAACTGACTATGGACAAAACATCTGCCATGCCCACATCCTACACCAGTGAACACACACAAATGTGTTCCCCAATGTTTAACTATCAATAAGAATTCTAACTTTTCATAGTTCAGCACTGTTTGGACTTAGAGCCAAATGTAAGTCTGTGCTCATGTCTTATCAAGCCAATACTGTGAACATCAGGACATAAAATTTTTATGTGATAGATGACACATGATCAAATCTGATATTCTTGTTTCAGTCTTGCCCTTTGTATACTGTGCCTTGGATATCAAATGAATTGTGGCCCATTACTAAGCATTTGTTGAAAGATAAAGGGGAATGCTAGAATAGCAATTTTATTTGAGAAGAAACCAAATTATATTTCTCTTATTTTTTATCCAGGTGCAAACCCTTGTTTTTTCATAAGTGCAAAACAAAACAATTAAATGAAGATTGAAATAAATGCTTATGTTTTATTCATGCCAGAAGTATCTGCCTTGTCTTTTAGAATGAAGTTAAAATGTTTCATAGATCTCTTACTGTTTCCTTTGGAAAAAAATTGTCTTTTTAAAAAAAATCCTTTATTGAGTTGATTTGGTTTAGATGGGAAATGAGCCTGATGAATATAGAAATGTAATAATTCTGGATCGTTCCTATCCATTAGGACGTGTTGATTAATTCTAAAGCTTCATGCATCTCTGATTTGGTGAATGAATCTATAGTAAAATTACAACCAGGATGCTAGCTGTTTATCTGAATTATATTTTTGTCTAGCTGATTTGAATTCAAATGCATCATTAACGTTTTTCTTCTTTTTAATATAGGTGGAAAACAGACCAAAATATTATGGAAGAGAGTATGTATTATACTATTCTTTGTTTTAATAATTTAATAAGTAGTTACTTCATATGTCATTCAAATATAACTGAAATGAAATATTTCATTTAATATAAATGAAATATTTCCTAACATGGTATTCATCATGTCTATTGTGAAAGTTTAGTAAGAAGAATAAATGCAATCAGACATTTTTGTATTGAATTTTCCTTCCCACACTCAGGTAACTGGTTTCCACAAAGGTGGGGTAGAGGAGAATCTTATGATGCAGTTCTCTCCTCAGAACCAGCTTCCAGGTGCCTGGCCAGTGCCTGAAATGGCTGGATCTCCAGCAGTGTTTCATTTCACTGTATACCCTGATACAATACAAACATTTAAATATCAAAAACTGCACCCTTCAGCTGAATCCCTGAGTATCACCATCCTCACAGCACAGTGGTCAGGAAAAAGCACCCTCCCTCTCCCCTTCCAGTGTCAGAAAACCAAAAGGATCGTTCTCTAGACCTGGATATGTCTGCCAAATTGCCTTAAGAATATGTTTATTCTCTTTCCAACCCAGCCACATTCTCCTTTGAACTCCAGCTCTAGCTCTGTTTGACATCCTTAGCAACATAGCACAAAGCAAATGCCATGACTAGAAAAGCAATCTGCAGTCTAAGAGTGGGAGGCACAGAACCCTTTACAGAGAGAGGGATGTGGAATGGTCCAAGGGGGAAAGGTACATAAGTCATTCTCTTCCTGAGGTTAACCTAGAAGCATGACAAGGCAAAACCTCTTTCAATGGTGCCCCTGCTCCCACCCCTACCCCTGCCCCTCTGCTCTTTTGGCCAATGCAAGACCTACCCTCTCACCCCCATACCCAGAAGAATCTCAGCCTCATGATTAATGGACTGTTTGGTTGTCCTAGCCCAGTGCTCCTTCCTGGTAGACACAGCCACATTTGGGAGCCTTTCTTGTTAGACTTTGAGCCTCCCACCAGCCTTTCCCTCTCAAGGACCCTTCCAGGAATGCAGGCTCCCCTCTCATCTGCCCTCCTATCTTTAACAGCTGGTCTATGTTGTCATATGACTAATGTCCAACTGACTTCACAGTTACTTGTAAATTGTACAGTTATTATTATTTTTAAAGAAAGAGCAAACAGGAAAACTTCCCACATACACTTTTGTACCTGAATCTAACAGGTGCTTTATTTGTTCATATAATAAATATGTAAATAAATTTTTTTACACAAAGTTTGATTGAATTATCTATTCTATTTCATCTCCCAAACTCACCACATCCTATAAACAAAGGAGACAGGGAAGCATGGAAGCATTTTCTTAATCACAGAAGGATATTTTGTATTAGAGGAGGACTGATGGAAAAGTTGCAAGGTTCTGCCTCTCTTGTTTTTAAAAGGTGAAGTTTTCTTGCCCTTCGAGTGAAAAAGCAATGCACATATCTCGTACACTGTTCAGGATGAAGCTCCAAGACAGGGGACAGTGGGTGTCTCTGGGGAAGCAGAATATTTCTGTATTGTTTAAACTTTCCTATCATTTATACTGTCAACATTTCAATTCTGAATGTTCCCACCGTGAGCTATCACTTTCTTTTTTAATTTAAACTCTTATTTCTAAGGGTGTGCGTGGCTTGTCTGCATATATGTCAAGTGTGTTAAGTGTGTGCCCGATGCCTGCACAGGTCAGAAGAGGGCATTAGATGCCCTAGAACTGGAGTTAACGATGGTTGTGGGCTGCTGTGTGGGTGCTGGGTCCTGTGGAAGAGCAACAAGTATTCTTAGCTGCTGAGACACCTCTCCTGTCCTACCATTCCCATTCTTGATATTTAATACCTAATAACCTTGGCAAAATAGAACACATAGAAAAATAGATGGTGGGAAACACCCACAACTCTCTCCACCCCACGAAAAGTAGCCCACTGCTGTCCGTTTAGCTTCATCCAGATAGTCTGGCTTTTTAAACAATGTGTAAGTCACAGACTGTTTTCAGCCTCACAGAACTCTGGCTTCCTTCTTTTGAGCAATCAGTCTTGATTCTTGATGCACACCTGTGCCCTATGGCCACCAGTTCAATTTCTGGTTCAAGAAAGCTAATACTTAGCTGTTTTCCTGCGTTCACACTGGAGCACTCCCAGCCCTCTTGCCCCTTTCCTGCGGGAGTGAGCAGGACAGGTTGTCATGTCCTTGTGCCTTTTGTAGTTTATTTCTGCACCTGACCCCACTGACCGCACTTCTGCCTACTATGGCACCTCCTGACATATCCTAAATGCTTCACCCTCACACCTCCTCTGGAACCAGCTTTTGTCCTTTTTGACTGATAAGAAACTTTTCTGTGTTCTCTGTTTTTCCTATTCCTCTTGTCCTGTCCCTGTGTCACCTCCCTCATACTTGCAAGGCTGCCCTCAGATATCTTCATCAAAGCCACTGCCAACCCTCCCTGCCAGAGCTCATGCCACACAGGACACTTCTCCAAAATGTCTCAGAGCCTAGTGGTTTCACTCACAAAGCCCCAAACACCTCTGCTCCATGGAGGTCAATGTTATATACAATGTACAAGACCCATCCTTCTCTGTGTCACTCTTCTTAAAGGAAACTTTGGTCTCTTACTATGCAATAGGGTTGCTCTTACATCTCAACACGCATTCCCAGGATTCCCCAACAGCACTGCTCTAAGCACTGATTCCTGAGATTTAAAACCAAAACTTAGTAGAGCAAAAGATTCCTCCTATCCCTCAACCCCCTGCCAAGCTATCATTGCCTTGATCTAAGAGCTGCTTTTTTAATACAGGACCATTGATGCTTCTGGCATCTTTGCTCCCTTAGGACAAGAACATTGAAAAGAAGAATACTGAAAAAGAGAAAATTAGGACAACACACATGCACACACGCACGCATGCGCACATACTCACGCATGCATGTGCACGTATGACTTCCAGCTAATTTTTGTATTCTTGGACTGAGGGTGGGGGAAACAAAGGTTATGTTTATGCTCAGAAAAAAAATTTATATGATTATTCTCCCAAAGTTTTCTACCACTGGGTAATTCCAGATAGAGGCATTCATCCCTGTTCCAGGAGTCCCTGGCCTTTGACTTTTTTTCAAACTCAAGACCCCTTCATCTTAGACACACAGAGACTAGAATTGCTACTGATGACAGAAAAAAAGAAAGAAAGAAAAAAAAAAAGCTGGACATGGTTGCATACTTGAGAGACACAGGCAGGCCAGCCTGGTGTACTTAAGGAGTTCCAAGACTACAACATAGACTATCTCAAAACAAAACAAAGAATTGCTAGTGATGGCCATGAGCCTTCATCTTTACTTAAAGGTAGGAGGACAAATAGATCCACCCAGCCACCTCCTTCACCCTCACCAGTCACTATCCAAGCACTAGGTCTCAAACAACTGTCTTCAGAAGGCCAATGCAGCCTTCCACAAGCCGGAAGTACCCCCTCAGTGTGCCACATTTTCTGTGTGTGTGTGTGTGTGTGTATGTGTTCATGGAGAAAACGGAGACAAACATTAAAACAGGAAAGTGGGTTCTTTTTGCAAACACCCACCTAAACAATCACTTTCAGATGTAAAGGAATGGAAGAACCTGGCTTCTTTCCAGAGAAGGAGCCTCTAAATTAACGAGGTCCAGCACCAGAAGCAGGCAGGCTGCTAATCAATAAGTGTTCATTTGTAATCAGGATAATCCATGGTTCTCTGTGTTTGAGCTGAAAGCTAAATTGGTAATTGCTCTTTTGTTATTCCCTGTGGCTGGAAAGGAGACATAACCGAGCTTTCCTTTCAATCTTCATTTCCAGCCTGAGAGCAGAGACAGAAGCAGAAGGCTGGGTGGACTGTGTGTTTTCCTGTGTTTGTGACTCTGTGTTTGTGACTCCAGGGGGGAAGGCAAGGAGGTTGTTCCAAGAGGGTCTTCACCATGTACCATAAATGCATCCCTCTTCATTCCAGTGGAGACAGTGGGTGTCTAGGGACCTAGTAACCATGGTTTTTAGGCTAGTCCTCACGGTACCTACTTTGCACATGGTCTGCTCAGAGCAGTGACTGCCTTGTCCCTTCAGGTTTCATGGGATCATCTCCCGGGAGCAGGCTGATGAGCTTCTGGGAGGCGTGGAGGGTGCCTACATCCTTCGAGAAAGCCAGCGTCAGCCGGGATGCTACACTCTAGCCCTAAGGTGAGCTGCGTTTCACTCGTTTCACTCACAGTTTGTAAAAGTGGCTTTTATTAATTTCCTTTTTGTTTGTTTGGTTGGTTTGGTTTGTTTTTTTTTTCGAGACAAGGTCCCTCTGTGTAATAGCCCTGGCAGTCCTGGACTCAGTTGGTAGACCAGACTGGCCTCCAACTCACAGAGATCTGCCTGCCTCTGCCTCCCTAGTGCCGGGATTAAAGGTGTGTGCTACCACACCCGGCCTTGATTTTCCAGTTTTTAAAAATGATAATATGTACCATGGACAGAGCTGACTGGGATGGTGAAACAATAAAGACAGACACACAGGAAGCTGAGATCAGGTGGACGGACCTTCCTGGTAGAGAAAATTGTAGGACCCCAGAAGAGCAGCGTCTTTATAATGGAGTATTGACGAGGGAGATGGAGTTACAACACACAGCTGAACAAGGAAGCAGGGTTTATAGTATTCAGTAGGAGTCGGGATTAGCCAATCTCAGTAGACTCAGCCTCTGTAGTGGAAGCAGTATTCAGCCTGTAGACTTCCAGGGAGAGAAAGCTATGGTGGGCCTGTTCCAGGCACAATATTAATATTCTCACTGAGACACAAGGAAGGCCTTGCTAGTGTTCTTTGAACCTCCAGAGACTGGGGGATGGGGAGATTTTGTCATTTTCCCAATGAGTCTGAGGCTATGGGGTCCTTAACATGGCTGTGCCAGTGTCAACAACGTACATTCACCCAGGACGTCACATGACACTCACTCAGGGCTCTCTGAGTTTCCTGCTACAGTAAAATGCACAAAATGTAAAATTCACCATCTCCACCCGCTTAAGTAGGAAGTACAGGGGCATCAGACACACTCAGCGAGGCTTTACAACTGTCTACTTCCAGAGCCTGCCCTTCAGCCCAGATGCTGAGTCTGCACCCTCACCCCTGCTCAGGTTACTTTGTTAGAGGCTGAGTGTCTGTTTACCTGGCTGCAGTCATGCAGATTGTCAGTGGGAGTGCTTCATAGACAGCCCATCATTCCTGAGTTCCCAGGGACCACCTCGACCCCGAACTCACCATGATGACTGCTGTCAAGCATGCCAGCAAGCCAATAGGGCAGGCTTCTCTTGAGCTTGGCCAACACAAGTGCTGAGGCATGCAGATGTCACTTGTGTATGCCAAGCCGTTAGCTCCTCAGAGGCCTCCTGTGGACTTCCGGAAATGGACCAGAGCTGTCTCCATAGGAAGAATGGATGCAGAGGCGAGACTTCCCAGGCCGGCCCATGAAGGGTGTGTGTTTAATGTACTGTCTCCATGGTGTGACCTGGAAAAGATGCTTTCTAAGTTGTAACTGAAGATGTACAGAGCATGTCTTAAAGTGGCTCAGTGATGAGGGAGTATTTCAAAATCGGTCAAGAACTTCGGGTAGGCAGAGCATTTTCCTATCGCCTGGCAGCCCATAGGAGGCACAGGTAGTCAGGAAGGTGAGATTGAGGGGACTGGTGGTACATTTAGCACCTAGCTAATATTTCTCTCCTGCTTCATTAACTGGGGTAACAGTCAGAGATATGATTATAAGGGACATTATGGGGAGTGGTGGTACCTTGCAGAGGTAATTGTCATTTTCCATTAAAGAAGTTTTGGGCTGCCATATGTATAAATCAGGGCTTTGACCTTCACAAATGAGATTGTATGACCTAATGTCCTGAGTCATCTATTGGATTAATTAATCACAATGTGTACCTGAGGTTAGATCCTGTCTGCTTCCTTCCAGGCACATGGGCTCCAGCATGGAGCCACAGCACTTCACAGCTCTGTTGTGTCTACTGTTAAATATGAATAATAATAGTAGCCATCTCAAAGGCTCTCTGAGATAATTAGATGCAGGCATCTACTCCAGGCCTGGAGTATCCTGGGAGCTACTGTCACTTTCCCAGTGCCTGTCTGACCTGTTGTAATCCTTCGTTTTCTGATGGGCAGGTTTGGGAACCAGACCTTAAACTACAGGCTCTTCCACGACGGGAAGCACTTCGTGGGGGAGAAGAGGTTCGAATCCATTCACGATCTGGTGACCGATGGCTTGATTACACTCTACATAGAGACCAAGGCTGCTGAGTACATTGCCAAAATGACCACAAATCCCATCTATGAGCACATCGGATACGCTACCCTCCTCAGAGAAAAAGTGTCCCGAAGGCTGAGCAGGTCTAAAAACGAATCGAGGAAAGCTAGTGTCACCAACGAGGAGCACACGCCTGTGGAGAAGGTGAGCGACCCGTGGCATGGACATGGGGGATGTAGTTTCGGTTTGTGCTGAATGAGGATGGATTGTGATAGACGCAATTTGTCAAAATGTTGGAGGAGACTCCTCCCCATTTTAGAACTAGCATGCCAAAAGGACCTTACACTCTTCCAGGTCAACCGTCTCTTGAGCTACATGTGAGAAACACAAGACCCACAAACATCCCATGATTTACTCTATGATCAGAGCCTGGAATTTACACAGTCATTTGTGGGTTTATTTGTAGTTTGAAAGAAAGAAAGCAATCCATTATTGTTGAATGCCAAACAGTGGGTGAAAAATGTTTTAAATTGCCACATGAGGCCTGCTGTCTGTCTCTGGTAACAAAGTGGGCCAGATGCATGGTATTTGTGTCTGTCTGTCTGTCCTGGGGATGTGTGAGCATCTGTGCATGGGAGGCTCTCCTGCCTTTTGAAAGTGGGTTAACCTAGATGGCGAATTATTGAGCCTGGAAAGATGACTCAGAGGTTAAGAGCACTGACTGCTCTTCCAAAGGTCCCGAGTTCAAAACCACATGGTGGCTTATAACCATCTATAGTCAGATCTGATGCCTTCTTCTGGTGTGCAGGCACACATGCAGGCAGAACACTGTGTAAATAGTAAATAAAAATTTAAAAAGAATTACTGACAGGCATGGAAACCTTCATCATAATGGGTGTGGCCCCAGGAAAGCTTACTTGGGATCTTCCTCCACCCCCACCCCAGCAAAGCTCACTGTACTGTAATTCACTGCTATATCAGAAAACCCCTGAGTTGGGGGAGTGTGCAAGCTGGGTGTATTGTCGCAGTGGCAGGATATGGTGAAGAGGGAACTATTTTTGCTCCCTACGAACCTGCTGCTCATTTGAAATGCTCCATCACAGTTGGCCAGCAGATTCTGGGGATGTGCCCCTTTGGGGACCATCTGGCTTTGGCTGGTCATCTCTACTTCCTTCCGAGAGTGACATCCTACCACACCATTAATAGGCCAGATCAGACCAGATTAGAATTAAACAGATACAGGTTTATTGGGTGGGTGGGTTCACCGATCTCAAAGAACCCCGCCAGGGAAATGGCTTCCTGGGCTAAGGCAAGGGGGTTTTATAGATCTTGGGCGAGGGGTGATGACATATAAGCCAGGAGCTGGGACTGTGCCCAAATATGGTCAAAAGCTGGGCCCCTGGGCAGGCACTTGGGTGGGCTGGTGGTTGCATCGGCTGCCAGAAACAGGGAACTGAGCTCTTGGACCCCATTCCTTTGTTCCGAGATTTTCAGTCCTGGTGGGGTTTCCCATCTTGTGCAGGGGCGAGCAGCAGGTTTCAGCCAAACAACCATGGGCACCCACTGTAGCTGAGCCGAGCCCAGCTTGTAGGATGGGCTGGACTGAGTCAGAGAGAGAGACACGGAGGTCAAGATGGAAATGCTGCTCCTTTGGGTGGCTGCTAATCCTTAATTAAAGTCAAGTGGGTCCCTGATGCCAGGACTGTTGGGGACCAAGGGAAACTTAAGTGGAACGGAAGGACTGGGTATCAGTGATGAGAGACTTACCAAGTCCTGGGATGGCTGGAGAGAGCAGCCAGGCTGTTGGCAGCAGGGGCATGATGTTAATTGATTTGCTGATTGAGTCTCAGAGCAAAGGAGGGCCATCCACAGCCTTGAGTCGGTTGAGCAGCTGGCCCGTGAAAACATAATTTGCCATTTTCTTTTTATAACTCTAATATCTTCCCAACACCTGTGTATTCTTTTAGAAATAATTGATTTGGGAAAATTGGGGAACTGCTGGTTGTTTACATTTTAATAGGAGAGTGGGGGAGAGAAGGAAGAGAGGAGAGAGAGCGAGCGCTTTCAGAGTTCAGTTCCAGATGAAAACTAGTTCTTAGTGTTTGTAAATCTGTTCAAAAGCGATTTAGAATGGAAAATCTGAAAGCTGACTCTCTCAGCCTTGATAAATCAGGGGATGAATTGTGAGATACGTCTCTGAAGTGGCGTTTGTATTTCTGAATCAGAGAGCAGGACCACTGAAAATGCAGCGATACAGAAAGCAGCCCCCACGGTGGAAAACAGCAAGGAAGTTCCATCAATGGAAGCTGGTATTTCTGGGTGTTGATTTTCAGCAGGAAACGGCGTGACAAGATGTGCCTTCCGTCTTAGTTGGGGTTTCTACTGCTGGGATAAAACACCACAATGAGAAAACAAGTTGGGGAGGAAAGGATTTATTCGGCTTACACATCCATATCTCTGTTTATCATCAAAGGATCTCAAGCAGGGCAGGAACCTGGAGGTAGGACCTGATGCAGAAGCCAGGAGTGCTGCTTACTGGCTCGCTTCCCATGGCTTGATCAGCCGGCCTTCTTACAGAACCCAGGACCACCAGCCCAGGGATGGCCCCACCTACAAAGGGCTGGGTCCTCGATCCATCAATCACTGATTAAGAAAATGCTCTACAGGCTGTCCCACAGCCTGACCTTACAAAGGCATTTTCTCAGTCAAGCTTTCCTCCTCTCAGATGATTACAGTTGGTGTCAAGTTGGCATAAATGGAGCAAGCACATCTTTCCCTCGAGCACTGACTCTTCAACCTTTCTAACGCTATGACCCTTTAGTACAGTTCCTCATGTTGTGGGAACTCCCAACCGTAAAATTATTTTCATTGCTACTTCACATTGCTACTGTTATGAATCATAATGTAAATATCTGTTTTTGGGTGATCTTAGATGACCCCTGTGAAAGGATCGTTTGACCCCCCAAAGGGGTTGAGACCCACAGGTTGAGAACCGCTGCCCTAGAGAAATGAGTAATCTGATACAATCACATTGGGTGAGCAGCCGGTATCCCTTTACTTTGGGGGGGTGGGTGGTAAGGAAAGAAAGGGGGTGTTGAAGGAAGAAGGCTCTCCTCAGCAAGAGGCTTGATGGACAGTTGTTAGGAGCGCTGATTTTTTTGGACACTAATGATGTGTTTGGCTTTCTTGAGGAATACTCTGGATGCTAGGTCTGATCACTTGTTGCCAGCCACTTATTTTGTTAGGAGATTATGAGCTAACATGATAAAAATCCATCCATTTCCCCGTGACCTGTGTTGACAAGTGTGATTAGGAAAAGCCTCAGTCTAGCGAGAGATCCTGTTGCCCTTCAGGGCAGGGCAGGGGCCTGTTGCCATGGAGGCAGGGACTGCAGCCGAGCTAGTAGGAACTTGAGTGAATTGACTGAGAGCAGCCCGAGGTACCTGTCTGCTTCAGTTAATGGAGTGCCTTAAAGGTTTTAATGAGTGGGATGGGTTGGCTTCCCAGCATTGCTCAAATTCAGCAAGTCTACTTCAAGGGGCTCAAGTGTTGCTCACCCATTTGTTTTATTGATTAATTACCTCCAAGTAAATCTAGAGAAGACTGTGCTGTGAATCTAAGAACACAGGCAGTGCTAACTGGAAAAAAAAAAAAAGACTGTTATTAACTCCTCTATCAGATTTGAGTGGTGTTCAGTTCAGATTTACTTTCTGTGCAGGTTGTTAGTGGCGACAGACCTGACTTTAGTAACTGGAGATAAGGCGGGGGTCGGGAGCTTGCAGAGGGAATAAAGCTGTGAAGGTTCAGCCCCTGCTAGTAGGTAAACTTCACAAGTCTTTATTTAATTCATTGGCTTTTAAAACACGGTATATTTGGGTCACCCATTTGGTGCATTTAATTAAAAATGGTCAGCCTAGTGCAATCTCTTACATGAAATGAACTTTAGAATTTATAGCAACCATAGATTATCTGCTGGTCTTCAGGAAAAATGGTGTGGTAGGCAGTCTATGAATAACCCTGGAATTCAACACCCAGATTGCACATACATGGAACAATTTCCAATTTTAGACTCAGAGCGGCTTTGCCAGATCCACAGGCGGGATTCTCCATGTCTGTCTTCTTATTCCTGCTTCACACTAGCAGGATGAAGAGGTGAGCCCAGGCTTCTCATCCCACATTCAGAACATCTTTAATCTACAGAGCAGCTGGACCTCATTGTGCCCCCATTGCCTTTGTTGCTCTAAAGTAACCCCTTGGATTTGGCCACAGTCCTGTCAGTGGATACTAAAAATCACTGTCTTTACATGGCCTGATTTTTGAAAATGCATTACTGTTTCTAGCCATGAGAAGCAACCTTTCTCACCAAATGCATCCCTCTGAATCAAATAAATCACCTGTATCACCTGGGTATCGTCTGATGTAAACTGCACCCGTATTTAATGTGGGAAAATAATGTGTATCCATGGGGTGGTAAAAGCACTTTTAATAATATATAGGTTGAGTATCTTAGGCCCAAAATGTTGGAGAACCAGGAATTTTTCAATTAGTGATAGACTAGCAGTTGTTCATCCGTAATCCAAAAACCCGAGTCAAAAAACGCTCCCAAGGTCTTTGAAAGCCTGAGATACAGGGTGTGAAGCCTGGGTGGAATCTTATTCATTTGTTGACTGGTTCGGATGTGCTTAGCCCCTCTTATATCATGTTCATTCATTTCACTGTTTTTTTTTTTTTTTCCATGACATTCAGCATGAGTTATGGCTTACTCGTTTATTTCACTGCTTTTGGAGGATGGTCAGCCCCAGTTCTGTCTTGTTCATTCATGTCACTGTTTCTGGTGGTAGCAAATGTCAGAAAACAAGTTCCACGAGGCCCACAGCGGCTCATGCATGAACCCCCAGGACAACAAGAGCGATGAGCAGGGCCGCTGCAGAAGAGGAAGTGTGATTTGTGTCACTATCAGGAAAACACTGATTTCACATGTTTATTTCTTGTCAAATCCTAAAGCTAAGAGGGCAGGCATTGTTGATTGTTGGGGGCAAGGGGGCAGGTATCTGAAAGAGCGCGTGTGGAAAGCAACTTTTCCTTTCCTTGTTCCTGTTTGAAGCCCTTTGAACTCTGAACTATGACATGTGCAGCATCTATTCAAAGACTGGAGCAAGAATAAAAAGCTCACCGTGTCTTAAGGACACAAGTCATATTAAAGC